TGTGCCAGGCGACCCCACTCAACTGTTTAATACAGTTGTGGGCGGTCAGGATTTACCATTCCTGCCTGAGAGATGAGGAAGCCAGGGAGGGGAGGGACTTCCCCAGGGGCCTCATGGGTGGATGGCAAGCAACAGGGCTGGGACTGGACCCTGCATCTGTAGGGATCTAAGTCCAACACTTGTTTTGGGACCCCAGACCCTGGCCCTACATGGCTCATTGCCAGGACTTGCCTCCTTGTTTCTGGCCCGCCTACATGTGTCCCTAGAACCTCCCCCCCTTTCTTTTCTAGTCAGGCACGCCTGACCTCCAGAGTGGCTGAGTCAGGGACCATTGCTGCCTCCTGCAAAGAGAGACCTTACTATCCCCTCACCCTCTGAAGTTGCCATCTCCTTCCCTTAAGGCAACTACAGTGCTCAGAGGGAAAGACACCAACTCCAGGAAGCCTTCTCGGATTTCTCTAAGCTTAAATCCAAAGCAACATCAACCCCCATTGCCCTGATCAGTCCAAACCCCACTCCTGCTCTCCTGTCCCCAGCGTCTCTGCCTTTGGGCTCATTAGAGCAGCAGCGGCATCCACATGCACCGGATTTACTGTCTGTGGTCTGAGGCTAGTTCCTCTGGGATTCATAGCTCCAGACAGAGGGCAAGGAATGAGGAAGCAGAGCATTCTGGGTGCTGTGGCTGGGCTGGGCTCTGGCGAGGACTACGGGGAGAAGGAGAGCCGGTTTCTCAGTCCTGCTGGGGACAGGAGGTTGCAGGTGCCACTGCTCTGAGAATCAGATCATCCTGGGGGGGCATCAAGCCCTCTGAGAGGACCTTCCTGAGTCTTGCTGGGTGAAACTCTGGTGTCTGTTTTCTCTGGGGGAGATTTAATCTAGAATGTGTCTCCTGAGTACACACTTGGAGGCCAGACTTCTCTGGGGCTGGAGGAAGGAAACAGAATTTATGAAGTGTCTACATTCTGCAGGGCTCTGGGCGGGGCATTCTGAGGATGGCACCTCAATTACTCTCCCAGAGGCTTTGTGAGGGTAGGGTCAGCCCTACATCCTCTGTTTTCAGAAGAGGAAACTGAGGCTGAGGGAAGTTAAGTAGTTTGAATGAGGTCACAAGCTGGGAGGCGGGAGACTGAGCCTGGGAATGAGCCCTCTGCTTTCAGACCCTTGCTTTTCTCTGGATGTCATGAGGGTAATGGAAAGTGGCAACATCTTTCTTTTCTTTCTTTCTTTCTTTCTTTCTTTCTTTCTTTCTTTCTTTCTTTCTTTCTTTCTTTCTTTCTTTCTTTCTTTCTTTCTTTCTTTCTTTCTTTCTTTCTTTCTTCCTTCCTTCCTTCCTTCCTTCCTTCCTTCCTTCCTTCCTTCCTTCCTTCCCTCTTTCCCTCCTTCTTTCCTTCCTTCCTTTTTAAATGTTTATTTATTTTTGAGAGAGACACAGAGCACGAGCAGGGGAGGGACAGAGAGAGAAGGAGACACAGAATCTGAAGGAGGTTCCAGGCTCTGAGCTGTCAGCACGGAGCCAGATGAGAGGCTTGAACCCACGGGGGGCCGTGAGATCGTGACCTGAGCCGAAGTCAGATGCCCCACCGACTGAGCCACCCAGGCGCCCCTGACAACACCTTTCTTAAGAGAAACCCTGTCTTTTTTTGTTTTTTGTTTTTATCGGTAGTTTTTAGACCTAATATTTGATTTAATTAACCACTTACTTATTTTTTCTTTTCAAAAATTTATTTAACTTTTAGTTAGTTAACACACAGAGCAATATTGGTTTCAGGAGTAGAATTCAACACACAGAGCAATATTGGTTTCAGGAGTAGAATTCAGTGATTCATCGCCTAAGTACAACACCCACTGCTCCTCACAAGTGCCCTTCTTAATACGCCTCCCCCATCTAGCCCATCACCCGCCCACCTCCCTCCATCAACCCTCTGTTTGTTCTTTATCTTTAAGAGTCTCTGGTGGTTTGTTTCCCTGTCTCTTTCTTCTTCTTTTATTTTTGAAACCCCTTTCTTAACCTCTGTGGGAAGCCTGTTTAAATGTCATACAGCCGTTTACCGTCAGAAAAGATTATCCTCACTTCCAATTTTGGTCTCCTATGTGGTGGCTCAATCTCACATGGAAGCTCAAAACATTGGGTGGCATGTCCCCTCGGCATCCTGAGGACAGCCAGGCCCCTTCCTGAATCCAGGCCCAATGGCCTGGCCGCTGGTCCTGCTTCACCGGCCTTGGGGCCTCTGTCAAGAAGTCCCAAGCCTTCACAGCAACCCACAAGGGTTTTCTCAGCCCAAATAACCACCCCTGCAAAGGTGCAGAGAGGCCAGAGGTGGGGCTCTGCCCTTGTCCAGCGAGTCTTCTCTTGGGGCCAGACTTGGGCTGGCAGGGAGAGAAGGCTGGTTCCGTTCCCTTGGGGTACCCCTTCCGCTCTCCTGGGGTCCTGGGGTTGGAGGAGTTGATAGAGAGAAGCCCTTGGATTTGCCAGGTCCTGTTTCCTGCCTGACCCTGTAGTGAGATGCTCAAGCTCCGGGAAAGCTGGTGCCTGGCCGAGCCCTTTAAATAGTCTCTGGGCAGAGATGGCCCACCTTCTGCCTGCCCCTGGGCTGAGGTCGGGCTTGGTCTCCAGCCAGTATGGGAGGCAGACAGCAGACCTCCCTTCTCCCTAGAGAGAGAGTAGCTAGGAGACAGGGATTAGGGCCTTGGGTGTGTCCTCTGTGTAGGCTGGCCTTTTTGGGGCAGGCATGGGGCACACCTGCCCATCTCCCTGAGGACTTTGGTTGGTCCCTGTCCCTCTCTGGGCCTCAGTGTCCTCATCTTTAAATTGAGGAGTCTGGCTGGAGCAGACGGTCTCAAGGTTCTCTATGACTTGATCTGTGTCCTGGACCTCAGAGGGGATCCTGGACTGTGACATCGCTGGCAGTGGGGGCTGTGTGTCCTCCTTGCACTGCTGAGTCCTCAGAGTGGGAGCTACATAAATATTTGTTGAATGAATACACAGCCTTGCTCCTCCTTTGCTTTTTCCTGTTTTAGACATGGCTCTGGATGGTCACTGGTATCTTGGGCGAGTGTGCCCCTGGCGGTCACCTGTCCCTCCATGGGCAGCTTCTCCCATGAGATCTGCAGCGGGGATGACCCCATCGGATAATCATCCTGGTTTTGCCATTCCCTCTGACCTAAAGCCAGCAGACAAAATATCCCTGAAACTGCTTCTAGGGGTTTAAGAGCTTCCCTCGACCAGGAGGAGCATTTGGAGGTTTATAAAGACCTTCTCAGGGCGCCTGGCTGGGTCAGGCAGTTAAGCGTCCAACTTCTTGACTTAGCTCAGGTCATGACCTCACGGTTCGTGAGTTCGAGCCCTACGAACGGGCTCTCTGCTGACAGCGTGGAGCCTGCTTGGGATTCTGTCTCCCTCTCTCTCTGCCCCTCCCCCGCTTGCTCTCTATCTTTCTCTCAAAATAAATAAAAATAAACTTCAAAAAAAAAAAATAAATGGTAAAAAAAAAAAAAAAAAAGGACCTTCTCCTCCGGTAATGTAAAACTGAGTCGGGGAAATGAGCCACCAGCTGTCATGCATCTGATTGTTGTGGGCACCGTGCTGGCTGCAGGGACCAGCGAGGGAGGAGGAGCAGGCTGGTACAGAATGGAGGCCCATGTCAGGTCACGACACAGTGATGAGCTGGGATTTCCTCACTTGTAAGAGGGAGGGCACAGTGGCCTCTGACTGCCGAGGGCTCCCCATGTCAGGTGCTTCTCAAATGCTAGCTCATCAAATGTCCGTTTTTCAGTTGTGGTCACCAAAGCACTGAAAGGTTGAGTGGCTTTCCCAAGGTCACACAGCCAGTCAATGGTAGATGTAGGTTGAAACTCAGTTCCGTCTAATTCAAAGCCTTTGCCCACCTCACTGGGTTTCTGGGAAGCCCGATGGTGTAAAAGGGGATTTTGGAGAGCTGGGTACCATAGCCATTGTAAGGCCTTCGTTCATTGAGGCTGGTTCGGAGAAAGCTCCTGAGTCCTGCTATGTGAAGTAAGTGTCTCTGAGGGTGAGGGGGCTGACCACTGTCTGGGGAGGGTCTGCTTTTCATGAGAGGTTCCTCCACTGTGGGAGGTGGGTCAGCTGTCCTGGGCTCCAGGGAAAGAGGGAAGGAGGGAGGAGGCTGATCTAAGAGCCAAGCCTGGGTTAGGAGCTGGGGGACAGGAATTTAGCCTCAGCTGGGCAGGCGAACAATCTGGCAACTCTGGACAAACCTTTGAGGACCAGAGACTCAGAAAGCGGTGCTGAAGGCAATGCAATTCAATGCATGGCCCACAGCGAGCTGGTGCTAGAGCTGCATTTGTCCTTGCTTCCAACTGCCTTGGGACTTGGCATTCTGGGTCTTGGTTTTCCCGCCTGTGAGAAACGAGGGTGTTGGATGGACCAGAAAGTTCCTATGACAATTCTGGGGCCAGTAGAAACCCTTCCCCATTGTTGTGCGCACTCAGTGACAATGTGCGAAGCAAAGCCTTGATTGCATGGGGTGCTTGTAAATGCAGGGTCTCCCTCTTCCCCCTGCTCCGCTTACTGAATGTGGTGTGATTTTGTTAGAAAGCAAAGAAGGAAGCTCAAGACGTGTGAGCAGTGCCTCAGCCCCCACACGTTGTCCTTCCCTATTGGGAGCAGGGCAGTAGAGGCGAAACTGGGGCCCCAGGATGTGTCTCTGCCCAGCTTCTTCCAGGAGGGCCCTGGGGTTCACCATGGGTCAGAGGAAGGCATTCCTGCGTCAGGCACCATAAGCACCTGCTCAGAAGGGGTGTGGAGGGGAGGGGCCGTGCCCTGACCCTGCAAGGGGTGGCGTGTCACGGCCACCCTGTGTTTGTACTGCTGGGACTTTGGAGGATCTGTGGTATTGTTCCTCTAAGAGGCGTTGGCCTGAATCTGCTGTCAGCCCTGGGGGAGGATCGTCACTCCAGGCCTGGCAGGTTTCATTAATCACCTTTTTGTCAGTTTTGATCCTCTCCCGAGAGAGAGAAGGGAGACAGCCTGAGAGCTCCTGCTTTGGGCTGAATCACAGCTTTTCAGAGAGCTCAGGAGCGCTGAGCTATCGGTTTGGGGCAGGAGGGCTGGGCATGGTCAGAGGTCAGCCTGAACTGCCCCCTCGCCCCCACCTGGCGTCTGTCCCCCCCCCTCCCCGAGACCCCAGGCTTGCCCTGGCTCTTTCCCTGGTGCTGACACTCGTTGGATGAAACAGGCCCAGCTTCCCTACCTGCAAAAAACAAAGGTCAGGAAAGCGCTGACTCAGAGGCCTCTTTCCTGTCCGGGGTTGCTGAATCAGCGAAGGGCTTTTTGGGATAACGACAAACCCAAGTCACCCCACCCGAGCCCTTGGTTCATCCCAACCCCCCTGGCTGCTTGGGACAGCAGGCTGCCCCAGAGAGGCCATTCATGGCAATCCTGGCCCCCTTGGTGAGTGGGAGTTGGAGCCTGAGTCCAGGGTCCTCCAGTCTTAGCCCTGGAAACTTCTACCTTGGGCTCCGAGAGGGACCACCACTAAAACCTTTTATTCCAGCCTGAGGCCTCCTGTGGCAGGGTTACTAAGCGGTCCCTGAATTTTAGCTGCATCCCAGGTTCCTTGGTAGAAACCTTGGCCCCAGGTTCTGGGTCACATCCTCCTATGGGGCCTCTTGGTCAAAAAAGCTCACAAGCTGAGACAGGTGTCATGTGCTGGGGGTAGGAGTGGGGGTGGAGGGGCTAGGGAGAGCCTTGTCAGGCATTATAAGAATCCCTTTCTGGACTTGACTGTGCTCTAAGGCAGCAGGGATGACGGTATCATTGAACACATGGGTCAGGCTGATCCTGGGCTTCTGAACCTTGACACTATTGACCTTTTGGGCTGGAGAATTCTTTATTGTGGGGGCTGTCCTGTGCGTGGTAGGATATTTAGCAGCGTCCCTGGTCTCTGTCCTCAAGACACCAGCAGCAGCCCCCCCTTGTGACCAGCACACTGTCTCCAGATATTGTCAGCTGTTCTCTAGGGGGGCAAAGAGCCTCTGGCTGAGATCTCTGGATCCATCTAGGATGACGGAAGTGGGAATCGTGGTCTCCTTAGGGGCACAGGGCGTGGGTAATTGACTGGGAAAAGGTAGGAGGAGCTTTAATGGAGTCCGGAAATGGTCTGGGTGATGGGTAAACTTCATATACAGGTAAAAATGCATTAAGCTGGGGGCACCTGGGTGGCTCAATCAGGTGAGCATCTCGCTTCGGCTCAGGTCATGATCTCACAGCTCATGAGTTTGAGCCCTTCATTCGGGCTCACTGCTGTCAGCACAGAGCCCACTTTGAATCGTCTGTCCCTTTCTCTCTTTCTGCCCCTCCTCCACTTGTGCTCTTTCTCTCAAAAATAAACATTTAAGAAAATGCATTAAGTCGGACACCAATGATTTGTACAATTTACCATGTGAATAATATACCTAGAAAGGGAGTTTTAGTGTCAGACTGAACCAGACTTGAGTCTCAGTCTTGACTACCCTTAAGTCTCAGTTTCCCCCTGTATAAAATGGGGTTACTAGTAGGACCCATGGCACTGGGCTGTTGCAAAGACTGAATGACACGGTGAGTGTATTTAGCCCCGTGCCCACCCACGGTGAGGGGTCTGAGTGTGTTCGTTGTTATGATGTTCAGGATTGCCTGCTTCCTCATACTGTACCTCAGTTTCCCCAGTTTCTGATGGTCTTGGGGACTATTTTCCCCCCCAGTTTAAATACTTTCAATCAAAGTCACTGGGAGCGTGGGAGTCGATGAAATGCTAAACAGGGGGCAGAAGGTTCCAGTCTGCAGTTGTAGAGATAGAAAGAAGGGAGCCGAGGGCTGCGTTGAGCTCGTGAAGCACAGGGCCACCTTGCAGCTCTGTCCCCATTCTAGTACTGGGTGGAGCTGAGAGCCTGTGGAGGAAGCTCCCAAAGTAGAGGTGAAGTTGAACTCAGCTGTCAAAAGGTAGTCTCAGGCAGAGCACTGTGTCTCTGAATCATACCTTTTGTTAAGGCTTAAACAAAAAGCCACCCCCAAAGGCACAACCCACCTTGGGGAGCAGAGGTAACTAGCTTGTGGGAAATAGTACAGTTGGCACCCGTCCGAGGGTGGGGAAGGGAGGAGAGAAGATGGGGCAATTGTCCAACCTCAGAGAGAGCGGTATAAAAGGTCCCCATTCAGAGGAAGAGCCTCCATCTTCGGCCCAGGCCAAGCCCAGCTCCTGTCCTCGGCTGTTCCCTGTCTGGTCCTCACCATGAGCTGTCGCCTGCAGAGCTCCTCCGCCAGCTATGGAGGTGGTTTTGGGGGTGGCTCTTGCCAGTTGGGAGGAGGCCGCAGTGTCTCTACCTGCTCCACCCGCTTCGTCTCTGGGGGATCAGCTGGGGGCTACGGGGGCGGCATGAGCTGCGGCTTCGGTGGAGGGGCTGGTAGTGGCTTCGGTGGAGGCTTCGGAGGCGGCTTCGGAGGTGGCCTTGGAGGCGGCTATGGAGGTGGCCTTGGAGGCGGCTTTGGGGGGGTTTTTGGCGCTGGCTTTGGTGACTTTGGTGGCGGCGATGGCGGCCTTCTCTCCGGCAACGAGAAGATCACCATGCAGAACCTCAACGACAGGCTGGCCTCCTACCTGGACAAGGTGCGTGCCCTGGAGGAGGCCAACGCCGACCTGGAGGTGAAGATCCGCGACTGGTACCAGAAGCAGAGCCCCAGCAGCCCGGAGCGGGACTACAGCCACTACTACAAGATCATCCAGGAGCTGCGGGACAAGGTGAGTTCTCTGGTGTTTGCCAGGCTTCTCCTGTGCAGGCCAGAGCTGCAAAGGCCAGGAAATGCAGAATCCCAAAGAACCAGAAGATGCGGTAAGGTAGAACCCTCACCGCCCCCCTGCAGGGGAGAATTCTAGTCTTTTACCACCAAGCATCTCTACTCCTGATACCTTTTCTTATGCCACTGTTCCCCAAACGTGTTTTCTCCCACTGTCCATTTAAAAAAATTTTTTAAAAAATGTTTTAGTTATTTCTGAGAGAGAGGGAGACAGTATGAGCAGGGGAGGGTCAGAGAGAGAGAGGGAAACACAGAATCCGAAGCAGCCTCCAGGCTCTGAGCTAGCTGTCAGCACAGAGCCTGAGGCAGGGCTCAAACCCACGAACCGTGAGATCATGACCTGAGCTGAAGTCGGACACTCAACCAGCTGAGCCACCCAGGCACCCCCCTCCCACTGTCCATTTTTACTGTTGTTATTACTCATGTCAACATTTTTACTGCTTTCCAGTTATGTTATTAGTGACTGGATCTCTATAACTCAGACCCACTGAGTTGTGGAAACTGAGTTAGAAACCATGGTGGTTTGAAAGGCCACTAAGAATGACTGCAAATAGTAGAGGAAGATATGTGTTCATTCACTGGTCTAGGAAAGCTAGTTGATTTTGTAAGGGCCCCATTTAAACTGTTCTACTCAATTGGCTATGACCAGGTCGGGGAGGTGGAGGTGGAGGCTTAGGCAGCATTAAGCTGAGAGTCCTTCATCAAGGACTGTCTATCACGCTGGGGCCCCAGCTTGTTGGAACAGAAATCCACCTGCCTGGGCTGGGTCTCAGCTATGTGTGGTGGATTTTTTTTAAAAATTTAAATTCAAGTTAGTTAACATACAGTATAGTCTTGGCTTCAGGAGTAGAACCCAGTGATTCATCTCTTACATATTACATTCATCTGTTACCTATGACACAGAGTGTAAGTGCCCTCCTTAATGCCCGTCACCCATTTGACCCACCCCCACCCCTCCCCTCCAGCAACCTGCTTCGGAATATGAAAGTTTAGACAAGAAATTCAAACGGACGGGAATGTTTGTTGGATCTTTCCTCTGCTCAGTCGAGAGGGCAGCTCCAGTGAAATTTCTATGGGCTGTCTGGAGTCAGGCTGACCCCCTGCTGACCCTAAGGAGAAGGCTCTCACAATGGTGAGGTTGCTAGTCTGGGGCTGTTGAGACATGATGAACTGAAGATGTTCTTGGCGGGGTCATTCCCCTGAAATGTGCATCCTGATCTTCCCCCTTGTGACCAGGCATAGAATGCCAGAATGACCGGACAAGCTGAAGGACTTGCCCCACCCCCACTTTACAGGAAGAGGAGCGGAGGCCCAGAGAGAAGTGCCTTATTCTGGCTCATGGGGACAGTGCAGAGGCTGTCAGATCATAACAGTCCTGCCTGGGCTTTCCCTTCCTCCTCCCCAAATTCGTGGATGCTCCAGTGGTTACCTCCTGTATTTCGCAGATCCTGGCGGCCACCACTGACAACAACCGGATCGTTCTGGAGATCGACAATGCCAGGCTGGCGGCAGATGACTTCAGGCTCAAGTGAGTCCATCTTCCTCACTGGCCTTTCCAAAATGCCTTTTATTTGAGACAAATGCTCACCTGAACACTGAAATCGGGGCATCCCAGGAACGAAGGTCTTGGAGAAGTAGCAGAGTCCAGTACTGAATTAGGGGAGTGTCTAATTTCTGTGTTGCTTTTTACATAACAAAATCCTTTAGGTATGAGAACGAGCTGACCCTGCGCCAGAGCGTGGAGGCGGACATCAACGGCCTGCGCCGGGTGCTGGACGAGCTGACCCTGGCCAAGGCCGACCTGGAGATGCAGATCGAGAGCCTGAATGAGGAGCTGGCCTTCCTGAAGAAGAACCATGAGGAGGTGAGGGCCGGGCAGGGGGCGCCAGTGAGAAAGGGGAGCAGCCAGGCTTAGCCCTCTGCGGTGGGACCCGGAAGCATGTCCCAGAACATGCTGGTAGCCCTCGGAGCCAAAGAGAGGGCGGATCGGAGCTTCACACATCTTCCTTTTCCATCCCTGCAGGAGATGAAGGAGTTCAGCAATCAGGTGGTAGGCCAGGTCACCGTGGAGATGGACGCCACCCCGGGCATTGACCTGACCCGCGTGCTGGCCGAGATGAGGGAGCAGTACGAGGCCATGGCCGAGAAGAACCGCCGGGATGCCGAGGAATGGTTCCACAACAAGGTACCCGACCCTCTTACCCCGTGGCGCCAAGGGGTGCCAGGGCCTTCCGCTGGGCTCCCCCATAACCTTCTTCCTGCTCGAATTTCAGAGCGCAGAGCTGACCAAGGAGGTGTCTACTAACACTGCCATGATCCAGACCAGCAAGACAGAGATCACGGAGCTCAGGCGCACCCTCCAGGGCCTGGAGATCGAGCTGCAGTCCCAGCTCAGCATGGTACACCCGCTGCCCTCTGCCTATCAGCCACCACCTCTAGGCCTCTGCCTGGCCTGGCTCCCCCTCTCATGTCTCTGTTACCCCTCCTCCCTCCCCCAGAAAGCCGGGCTGGAGAACACGGTGGCCGAGACGGAGTGCCGCTATGCCACGCAGCTGCAGCAGATCCAGGGGCTCATCGGCAGCATCGAGGCCCAGCTGAGCGAGCTCCGCAGCGAGATGGAGTGCCAGAACCAGGAGTACAAGATGCTGCTGGACATCAAGACGCGGCTGGAGCAGGAGATCGCCACCTACCGCAGCCTGCTGGAGGGCCAGGACGCCAGGTAGGCCCTCTCAAGCCTCCCTCTTGGGAAAGCGACCACAGGACCCTTGGACCAGGTCCTCACGTCCCACATGGAAGGGGACCTTCTGAGCTTAAACAGACTCGATGGAGATCCAGGACCAGAGCTTCCCGTTTTCTTGAATCAGACTGGGGGGGGGGGGGGATTTCCTCAGCAGGCCGCAGGGCCAATACCTTTAAACTTTCTAATTTGGGCCTTTGGATCAGACTGGAAGGACGAGGGGCGGTGGGCAGATCATCATGTAGGAAAAATATTGCCTTGGGTTCAGGTCTGCTGAACAAAGTGTAAAAATGGCGATTTCACTGCCTTCAGACCATTTGCAGGGACCAGGCTGTCCTTGTGGGCTCAGCGGGAAGAGGGTGAAGGTTCTGAAGGAACCAGAGGGAGGACAAAATTTCTGGTAAATGTCCTGGATTTAGGGCTGGTACTGTCTCCTCCTGAGGACTCACAGTACCTGCTGTGTCCTTTTGGGCTGGGGGCACAATTGGTTAAAAAAAAAAAAAGCCCAGCTCAGGGGCCTCTTGATGATGATCTGAGTCGCTCCATCTAAGGGCAGATGAGTGGCTGTCCTTGGGTGATTCTGCTCACACTGCCTCTCTTCTCTCCCCCAGGATGGCTGGCTTACCCTCCTCGGGAGGTAAGGAAGGAACCCGGTGGGAGGGGTGAGGCCGGCTCCTGCTCGCTGCTCCCGGTGGGGGGGCTGGCTGGTGAGGCAGTGCTGGACTCCCCAGTGGAGGGAGGGAGGGGGTTATAGTGGACGTGGTCATTTGCTGGTCTGTTTCTTTTCAAAATAGCTGGCTCTGCCCCGTGGAGCCACTGGGAGGCTTTGACGCTTCCCCACCTTTGGGGACAATAACATAAGCGTCCCTATCAACTAACCCCGGCCTGACCAGTGACGGGGCTTGAAGTCCTCCTGGGGGCCCCTGACCTGCTGACGCTGGTCTTCTCCAGCCTGAGTGTCTCTTGTCCCCTCTGTTTCTCAGGCAGCGGCAGTGTCACCGTCACCACCACCTCCTCTTCCAGTCGCCGCATTTCCGACACCCGTAAACCTTAAATCCATCTGGCACCCTCTCCCTCTGTCTTCAGCACCCAGAGGAGAGAGCTGAGGAGAGCGGGAGGGACTGCACGATGCTCAGGACACCGGCCCCCCCGCGCTTTCCCGAGGGTGGTGCTCTGCGCTCCTCTGCCTGTGTCCCCCACCCCTCCTCCCTTACCCGGCTACTCTGATGTCTCAGCAACTCTACTAAAAACAAAAGATAATTCAATAAAGTTTCCTGCCTTTCTGCAAATATATTTTTGACTCTGGCCTGATTTCTGAGGGCAGGACCCGCCAAGACCCTGATTTGGGGGGTGGGTGTGGGGAGGGGGCCGTGGGGCCAAGTGGTTTACCCCAACAAGGCCCAGCCCAGGCAGCTCCCAGCTGGGAAGGACACAAGGCCCCCGGGCCACCCATCAGGGCACAGACACGGGGGAAATGAGTGGCTCGTGGGTGATAGTGTTCAGCAAACAGCAAATGGGACAAACTGGGGACGTGAGACCACGTGAGTCAGTTTAAGCCCCTACCGGCTATAAGGTAACAACAAGGCTCTGGTAGAATCAGGGGCTGGGGGGCTGCGGTGGGTGTGCAGAAAGAGGTTCAGAGGGCTCTGGGGAGGGCTTCGAGGGGCCAGTGCAGGGCTGGCTTGGGGAGGAGACCCAGGACAGTTACCCCAGGCCCAACCTGCTGCCTCCCCGCTTTCTGCAAGGCGCTTCCTTTTACATGATGGACTTCCAGACCTGTAGTTCCCCTCTATCCACCCCAAGGCCTTGCCATGCCAACCTGCTCAGTGAACTGGCCACATGACTCAACGAGTGACCTCTGTCCGAGCTGACCTTCCCCCCCAGGTCCCTCTGCACCCCTGTGTCCCCATCTCTCTCCATGTCCCAGCTCAGACACGCAGCCTCCTCTTGCTTGGTGTGTGTCCAGAGGACCATGGAGTCCGGTCCTCTGGATGCTGGCATGAGCACACTTCTCTTTGTCCTTTTAACCCTCCCCTTGGCCCACCTGGTACACGTCCAAGGTCACGATTGCCAGTCCGTTCTGATGGCACTCGGGTGAAGCCCCTCTCCTCCACTCCAGACCCTCATGCCTGCTGCCTTCTCCAAACCACTAGTTCGAGGGAGCACCCATCATTCTCCCAGATCCGTGCCTTCCTGTTCCCCATCCCAGAGGACCCAGAAATCCAAGCCAGGAGCCCAGGGGTTACCTTGGCCTGCTCTCCCCTGACTGCCCTCCCAAGTCCATCCTGTGGGCGCTGTTAGCTGTAATGTCTTACAGCCTCGTGGGCCTCCCAGCCTCCAGTTTGAGCTTTCCCTGCTTCCTTGCTACACACCCGAGTGGGGACTATTTTTTTTTTTAATGTTTTATTTATTTCTAGGAGAGAGAGAGAGACAGCGTGAGCAGGGGAGGGCCAGAGAGAGAGGGAGTCACAGACTGAAACAGGCTCCAGGCTCTGAGCTGGCAGTCAGCACAGAGCCCGACGCGGGGCTCGAACCCACGAACCGCGAGATCATGACCTAAGCGAAAGTCGGACGCTTAACCGACTAAGCCACCCAGGCGCCCCCCGAGAGGGGACTATTACTGGAAATGGAAAGCCTTCCTCCTGGCCTAACGATGCTTCCGTAGCTCCCCTGGCCTCCGCAGAAAGGCTGGACTCCTCCCTGGCAGGGGCCACCGCTGTCCAGCCTCTTCCTGCCTGTCTCCAGCCCTGAATTCTACAATCGCCTCCTCCCACACCTTGAGGTCCTGCTAGTGCCACCTGGTCTTGGTAACCCAGCCAAGTGGCGGGGAGCCTTGGGCCCTTGTTCAATGAGTGACCTCAGTCTGAAGGGACCTTCCTCCTCTCTTTCCCTCTGCACCCCCGGCTGCCCCCCCCACCTTTGTGTTATTGGAAACTACCAGGTTTTTAAAAATGTTTATTTATTTTTGAGGGGGGAGGAGCAGAGAGAGAGGGGAGGGGGGACTAGGGATCTGAAGCAGGCCCCACGCTGACAGCAGAGATCCCTATGTGGGGCTCAACCTGCAAACCGCAAGATTGTGACCTGAGCCGACATCAGAGCTACCCAGGTGCCCCCGAGACTACTAGGTTTTTATTCACCATTCAGATGGAGATGCGCACCCCCTCCTCTTGGCACCTGGATAGTGTGGGGTGCGTTCAGGTGTGTGCGCGTCTGAGCCTAGCCTGACGTTGACCATGTGCTTGGAAGGGTGGAGCCGTCTGTCTCTCCCCGGACCAGCCTACTGCTGGGGCGCAGTCCCGCTCACGGAAGGAACAGATGAACAAGTGAACCGGGCAGTGCCTGTCAGATGCTTCCTAGTTTTTGTCATGGGGTTTAGGCCAGTGCATGGGTGGGCTCCGGCACACCTGCCAATTGCCCCCTCTCTCTGCCCCCTCCTCATCTCCCCTCCCCCCCCCCCCCCCCCCCCTCCCCCGGGCTCTGCATAGTTTATTCCCCTCATTCTTTATCCTTCTCCTCCAGTCCTAAGCCTGCTGTGGGCTCAGGTGGCTGGCTTAGTCCTAGGAACGTCACTTAAACACGGCCCACCCAGCTGACTAAGCCAGATCATTCCAGATTCCTCCCCTCTCCCCCCACTGCAGAACGGGCTGGGCTCGATTCTAGCTCACACGCCCAGGACAGTGCTAAGAGGCCTCCAGGAGAAGCAGGCCTCCACTCCCAAACACTTCGTACCTCTCTGTGATTCTGTTTCGTCAGCCTGCTGTGTAACAGGCACCGTACAGGCTCCTGGAGAGAAAGACAGAAGGTGGGGTCTGTCTTAAAGGAGCTCACGGCCTGACTGACCCGGCAGTGGGAGGAGACACCCCCAACTATACGTGATCGCAAACTTCCAAGCTCAGTTCATGCCTCACCTTTTACAGTAGATCGTCTCTGGTTTCCCCCATGCTGCTCCCAACACCCCAATCTGTCCCCACGGCCTCCAGTGTTCCCATCTGTCCCTCTGTATTGATGACCATCCTAGCTATTGTTGGAGAGCAGGGCATGAAGGTCACAGGCTCTGGAGTGACATCGCCCTGTGTGTGTCCCAGCTCTGCCACATGCTCTGCTCACAACCTTGGCCAAGTGGCTTACCTCATGGGCTCACTTTCCTCACCGGCCCAGCCCTGCCTCCCTTGGAGGCCATTAGCATCAAGTGCTTAGAACAGTCCCCAGCACGTAGTAACTGCTCAGTAATTGAAAGCTTTCCCATTCCCGGGGCGCCTGGGTGGCTTAGTCGGTTAAGCGTCCGACTTTCGCTTAGGTCATGATCTCGCGGTTNTAGATGGGAGTGAGTGAGGACGATGGAAATGAAGTCATCGGTGTAAGGTTCTGAGTGCTTCATTGATCAGTATGGATTTTATAGGGGCGCCTGGGTGGCTTAGTCGGTTGAGCGTCCGACTTTCACTTAGGTCATGATCTCGCGGTTTGTGGGTTCGAGCCCCGCGTCGGGCTCTGTGCTGACTGCCAGCTCAGAGCCTGGAGGCTGTTTCAGTCTGTGACTCCCTCTCTCTCTGACCCTTCCCTGCTCACGCTGTCTCTCTCTCTCCTAGAAATAAATTAAAAAAAAAAAAAAAAAAAGCTTTCCCATTCCCTTCCCTAACCTGTGAGTTCTCCCAGCACACACGGGGTTTTGTAGTCATGCCCATCCTCATACCCAGAATGTTCTAGGAGCTCAATAGATGCGCTGTGTGGCATATGAGAGAATGAATACAGACGAGCTATGGGGATGAAAGAGATAAGGGAGCATGGAGGAGGGGTCTCCCCCAGGCTGAGGCAGGGGTTGGGCCAGAGGAGCTCCTCGCAGCTGAGCCCCGTGGCTGGCCCAAGCGCCCCAGGGTACATATCCTGGGCTTGCCAGGCCAGGAGCCACCCCTCTCTCTGTGACTCAGGCCAAGGCTCTTTAGGGAAGCAGCTCCCTCCTTTTATACGCTTGCGTTGAGGAGTCTGATGAGGTTTGAGGTTGGTGCTCCCTGTAGAGCTGTGAAATGAGTTGGACCCTGCGGCTGGTGGGGGCTCCGGCCTACGTCCTCCAGGCCCCAGGGAGGACACAGAAGCTGGGCTCCACACAAGGGCCTCTGTGGCCCTATCGGGAGTCCCAGGGAGGCCGGGGAGGGAAGCCCAGGAGGGGCTGTCAAAGCCAACCCAGGAGATTTCTGTGAACTGGGAGAAGGTGGTTGCCTCAGTAGTGTGGTCTGCGGGGTGAGTATCCACCCTTTCCATCCAGGACTCGGTTTTTTCCCCTGTCATCTATAGGTGGCGGCCATTTGAGGGAGCCTTGCTGGGTTGCTATTTCCTTCCCCTGATTCTCTAGGTGCCCATGCCCAGCCCAGGCTCACATCCCTGCTTCCCAGGGCTGCGGCCACGAGCATGTGGCTAATCGCATGTGAATGCCGAGGTGCCAGCACAGAGGGGGTAAAAACAAAAGGGAAAGCAACAGTGTGTCTAGCACATGACTCTTTATGGAGCTCCTTTGCATTATTTCATTTCTGTAACAATCCCGGGAGTCAGCACCATTGTGCCCTTTTTACCCATCTGAAGACTGAGGCCTAGACTGCTGAACGGACTTGCCTATCAGGAGAGCTGGGATCCATGTTCCAACGTGCTTTCCAAGACTGTGGTTGGCCTTTTGTCAAAGTCAAGTGTTCAGTTCTGAGAATCTAGGGAAAGAAACAAAGCTCTCTTCTAAGCCCCAGTGCTTGGGGGACAGGGGCATTAACCGTGGACCGTTCCTGTGGCGTCCCATGCCTCAGAGCTAGTCGGGCGCCTCTGCACAGTAGATGCTGCACCAGGTTGGCTACTTGCTGTGTGGTGTCTCTGAGCTTCCTCCTCACCCTCGTCAGAGGAGTCTCCCTCTCTCTCAAGCTCCACCCCATGGATGGGCAGTCAACTTCCGCCCTCCCTGATGGGGCTGCATGTCCTGTCTGAGCCCTGCAGGGGGCAGGCTCACCCCAGAAAGCAGATCAGTTCCTCTTTGGCCACCTGCTGGGACTCAGGGTGGAGGGACAGAGCCCTAGACCTGATCCTACCTGGGTCTGGTCTCCGCCCCAGGCCTTGGCCTGTCCCCCGCCTCGTGTTGGGGAGTTGGACGCTCTGTGAACAGGGCACGGCCGCAGCCCTGAGACCCCTTGGGTGTCTGTTGTCTCTCTGTTTTGGGTGGCAACCTTTGAGGGTCCACAAAAGACTCAGAGTGTGAGGTGAAGGGCGCCTGGGGCTGTCTGGGAAGGGGAGCCCTCACGGTCCCTCTGAAAGGAAGCTTGAGGGAAGAGAAGGCAGGGCTGTCACACGAAGGCTGTGGTCAATGGCATGCATCCATCTTTCCCATGTCAGCCGCTGAGGCCCTTCTTCCCTCCCTGCCTGGGGTCAGTGCATCTCAGGGCTGCCCAGGGACCTGCCTCCGCCTGGATGGTGTTCCTGGGGCTTAGTGACTGGAGCAGAGCCGGGTATGCTGGTGGCATGCCTTTGAGCATTTCCTCTGGGCAGTTCAGTGCATCAGACCCCATTCTTGTGCAGAGTTTGGGAAGGATTAGGTTGCTGGGTGGGTGCTGAGTCACGCACAGGCACCCATTGCGGGTGGGCACGGGGGCGAGGGAGTTGGCCAAGAGCTGGTATTCACTCTTCTGGTACGTTTTTATGAACAGCCACAGTGACTCTGTGGCTTCTTTCATCCAAGGATCTCAGCCTAGTTTGTGAGCGGAATCCACAGCATAAAGCATAGTTAATTACAATCTGGAGCCCACAGTCTGCTTTGCAGACACGCTGCCGGCAGTAGGAAATACTGAGGCCGGCTGCACACCAGGCCCTGTAAATGCAGATGATGGCCCTCAGTTACACAGGGTGCTTGGGAGCTTTGCTTTGTAGTTCAGTTAAGTGGTACCTGAATCAAGAGGATGCGGGAGGCTGAGCTACCGCTTCTTTCTCCCACTGGGCCTGGCTCTGCATCTCCCACAAACCACAGGCTCTCCAGGTACTTCGGGGAGAGCAGTGACAGCTCTGGAATTTTCCATAAAAAGCTGGGTGGGGGGAGTCAGGGACTGAGTGGATCTGAGCGGGAGGCCCTGGACTCTTCCAGATGGGAGCCGTCAGCCGAGGCAGCTGTGCAGGAAGAGCTGGCTCTAGGTGAGGGGAGTGGGTCCTGGGATGCAGGAGGCAGCACTGGTGAGAGGGGACCGGAGAGGTATGGCGGAAGACTGGGGTCAGGTGGCTGTCTGGGCCTCTCCCGAGGCAAGGGTAGAATACTGAAGCCCCCCGGCAATCACCAACATTATACCCTAGCAGGAGAGAAAGTTCCTTTGTGTTTTGGGGGAGGGTATTGAGAGTTCTAGGGGAGCTCTGGAGCTGGTGAGGTGGGGGTTCCAAGTCCTAATCTGGGGGAGGTCCAGGCCCAGTGAGGGTTCAGGGCCACCCGAGAGCAGCGTGCTGGGAAGCCACATCCTGCTGGGGGCCGTGGCCTACTTGTCGGCTCTCCCGAGGCCCCTGAGCGTGGGCTCCTGGCCTCGTGGAGGGGCAGAAAGAGTGGGGGGAATCCCCCCCCCCCGTCACTTAGTGTGTGTCCAGACTGTCCGGGGCCTGGTGAGGGCCGGTAGCAGCAGGGAGTAGGTAGATGTTTGGGGCACAGGTCAGGGGAGTGCAAATGAGCAGGGAGGGACCTGCCAAATCTTGCCTAAGAAGGCCTGCGTCACCATGCTCAAGGCAGCTGCCGTGATGGTGGAATGTCACCGAGGTGGCCGGGACGAGACAGGACTTCCGAGTCCCCCTCGCCCGGTTGGCAAGGGCAAAGATGGCAGCCTCGCCCAGTCCATGTGGAACTGCAGATAGACAATGAATAATTTCAAGTCCAAGTGTGTCCCAATATTGTGTGCGTTTTCGTTTGCTGCTCAAATCTGGCAGCCCTGCTCTTAGCAGGTCTGGGAACAGCACTGAGTCTCTTCCAGTCAAGACTAAAGAAGTGAGACCTTTCTCTGATTCTGTGGACAAATCGAATTGGTGGCTCAAGATGTCTTAATTGAAATTTTTTTTCCCTCCCATGATGCTTCCGTGCACTTTGTGTGCCTGTCCCTGCGTGTCTGTACTAGAATCTCATAGCTGGCAGCAGATTTGGCACGAGGTTTTGATGTGGTTCTTTGGCACGGAAATTCCTGGGAGGGGCCAAGAATCCCGGGTGCTTTGTCTCTAGAGTAAATAGAAAAAGCAGTTGTGTGGGGGAAGGAATGGAGGTCAGTGTGGGGGTCCCCGTTTCTGCGTGGGTGCTGGGTAGGGTCTAAAGAGGTGAAGTCTTGGATCAGCGTGCCTTAGATGCCTTGCATAGTGAGAAATTCTGCAAGACCTGTGTGTATGGGCATCAAAGATCAAATAGGTACCAGGAAAACCAGGAGGCTCAAGCCTAAGCCAGTAGGCCACTCAGAGAGGGAGGGAGAGAGAGATTACACTTCTTGAGTGACCTTATTCTTTTTGGTGCCCGTTTGTGGTGACCTGGCTACCCCATGGTCCATTGTCTGCATCCTCCAATGTCTTTGGGGCACCATGTGGTGGCAGTGGCTGGCACATTCTAACTACAGCCCTGAGAAGCAGGGAAAGAGGGGATGCTGCTTTCCTCCTCGGACCCCCTGTGACAGGCTGTGCCTGGTCCCTTCTGTGTTGAAGGGACTGATCAGCTGGGCAGCAGACTCATGCTTGATTTCTTGGGTCTTTGCCCATGAAGAACGTTGGCTTTCAGATGAAATCTCACTTGAGAACGGAAACTTCTTTTTCTTTCTTTCTTTTTTTAACCAAAGAAGGACGCACAAACCCAGTGGTTGATTTTGAGCTTGGTGGCCTTCCAAGGTGGGCTTGAGAAAAGCCAGGGTGTTTAATGTTCCTGCAGCAGCAACTCCCCTCTTTCCCTTGACACTGAACCTGGGACCATGGTGGGCAGAGAGCATCTTGTCTGGGCAGAGAGCATCCGTAGCCCTAAAGTCAGCACCTGTGCCGGCGGGAAGTGGAGGTGGCTGTGGGAAGGTGCTGGCTTCTGGTCACAGGCCAGAGGGTCCCTGCTGCCCTGGACACGGTCCCAGCCACTGCCTCTTT